AATTTTGTGTTCTCCATTCTTTAAGCACCGGTTCGAGCACCGTTTAAGCACCGGCACCGTTTCAAAAGTACCGATTTGGCACCGGTATTGGATAAAACCTAAACGATACCCATCCCTATATAGAACACTACCAAGATTAACATTTTTTAAATACATAACTGACAGGTGTATATAATCTACACTCATTTCCACCCAAAATTTCAAATGATGTCATTCAACTAGCTGAGGCCCAAATACAGGATGGTCTCAACAGCTCACTGTAACTGTGTAACTTACAGAAACACATGCGGATATAGCTTCTGACACACAAAGTGAATTTTAATATTTAAGGAGAATAATGGTGTAGTTCTGAGATTTTCCCTCCACCACGTACAGGGTTACACAAAACCACCCTCGTAATGATTTTTGCTGTGCTTGTTCTGAATCTTTGGAGATTGAATTGGGGATAAAATAGGCTCGTCTTAGCTGGGCTGCCTTGTTATAGCAATGGCAGAGAAACATGTTCAAATGAATGGTACGTAGCATATTGAGCAGAATAAGAACAGGTTTTCTGGGGTATAGGAAAGCTAACCCTCCTATTCAACGAGCAGCAGGGATTCCTGTAAGGGAGCCCATAAAGCCCAACAGTAACATATATAAATCAATCAAAAAACATGCTTTCTCAAACCCTAATATTGGATATAATAGGTTAGATACACTGGTGTCTGACTTGTAATTTCACTTTAAGCATGAGAAGGAGAAGACAGACACATAAAGAAAGGTTACTGTGTTACTGTAGCTCAGCGTTTTCACATATGATTCCATAAACAGTCAGTTGGTTTTGTATCATTCAACTCAACTTTAACAAAGAGATTCATGAAAAACTTCAAAGACACTCCAGTGGCTGATTTTGCTCTAAAAACACCACAACTTCTTGTCTTTATGTATTTATGTATGAAAGTGAACATCTACCATTCACTCTTCCCTCTAAACAAAAATGCTTTGCATTGAAACAGACTTTGCAACTGTTCAACGTATGATTATTTAGGGAGTGTGTTCAAACTAGTGTAATTACGATAAATATTTGTGACACGTGCTGAAAAACTGACACATGCCAGAACGACAACTCGATGTCAGATTCAGTGGACGCAAGCAAGAAAAGCACAACGAGGAGTAAATACTAACATTTCTTAAGATGAGAACAATATAACAACCAATTCACAAGGTAGCTAAAGTTGTGTTTGGGGCGATCCACTGTAATTTTCTGTACAGCACGGGAAAGACAGATGAATACATATCAAAAGAAAAGAGCGTAGAAATGCAGAAATCTCCTGTACTGTGCAAAAATAAATAGTAGAGCAAGCTTGCAATGCTGAGAACGCCATTGAGGAAACGCAACAACTCATTGTAGGGTTGTGTGTCTGTCACTACAACCATAAAGGAAACTGTCAATTATTCCCTAAAAATGCAGAAATTGCAGAATTTCAGTGCCCATAAATTACACTAACAGTAATTTAGTGTCATTTCTCACCGCTAGATGTATCACCTTTGTTATGCAATGGTATACTTCAATGCAAAAAAAGAATATCCAGCACAATGATTACCACGAGTTTTTCCTGTCAGTCTAAATTCTTAGCAGCCTGACAGGATGAACGTCTCCACCCAGGAGCCTACATCCTCTGGGTGTTTGCACAATTAATGTTTTCTGGGAGCATTGTTGATGGCAGCTGTGGGATGATAGTGACATAAAATTCAACAGCAGACCCTTTCCTCATGACATCAGGCCTTTTCAGAGGCGCACACACTGACAGCCCGGGAAAATCACGGTGATGATGAATGGATAAATGAGTGACGGAGGTGTTGCAAACCAATTTCTCCCAGCCACGCTGTCATGTAAAAGAATGACAATTGAATGTTCGTTTGTGGACAACTGGTGGAGCGTTCCCATTAGTGTGATATGAGCCGTGCCATGAGAAGATGCTGAGAAGTCAGACAAGCAAGTTTGTGTTTTTTACAGGTGTCTGCTATGTGGACATTGTTGCAGACAGCTGTGACTACACCGAAACAGTGAATAATGAATGGACAGTGATGACATTAGTTTAATGTCCACAGCTACATCACTCACATCCGAGATGGGACAAATTGCTCGAGTGTAATAACAAGAAAAACATACGAACTTAAAAATGGATGAAACAACAAAGCTGAGGTTTTCTTTCCTGGTGCTGTTTTCTTTTGTAACATGGAGACACCTGTTCAGTAGGAGTGACTCTCATGCTGCATGGGTCTGTCACCCAGTTTATTCCCTTCTGTGCTTTATAATCCCTCCATCATTCTGCTGGTAACATTACAGAAAAACACATAAACCCACTAATTACATTTTGTTACTCCTCATTCCAAATGGAATCAATTCATTTCACACAAAACTCCATAAGTTTTTTTTTAATTGCTTAAAATTGTTGCAAACGTATTAAAAATAAAAACAAAAATATAACACGTACATAAGCATTTCCAGCCTTTGCCATGACACTCAAAATTGAGCTCAGGTCCATCCTGTCTCCGCTGATCACCTGTCAGATGTTTCGCCTGTGACAAATCCAGTTGGTTGGACATGATTCGGAAAGGCATCTTTCTATATAAGGTCCCAGAGTTGACAGAGCATGTCAGAGTTCAAACCAAGTGATGAAGTATGAGGAACTGTTTGTAGACCTCCAGTACGGGAATGTTTCAGGACACAGATCTGCAGAACGATGCTGAAACCATTTCTGCCCTAAGCACACAGCCAAGATAACAAAGGAGTGCCCTCAGGACCACTCTGTGAATATCCTTGAGTGGGCGAGCCAGAGTCCAGACTTGAACCTGATTGAACATCTGTGAAGAGATACGAAGATAGCTGTGTGCTCCCCGTCCAAAATTAAAGTGCTTAAGAGGATCCATAAAGGAGAACAGGAGAAACTGCCCAAAAATGGGATGTCAAGCTTGTAGCATCATACTCAAAAAGACTTGAGGGCGTAACTGAAATTGGATTTTACCCCCCTACAAAACGTGATTATCCAGAGTAAAGACCAGGCAGCAGAGCAGAGAGTGGCTGGCCTCTCTTAGAGATGCGGTGAGGAGTTTGGCCTTCTGGCCTTCTCTGCTCAGGCTGCTACTCCCGCGACCCGAACCCAGATAAGAGGCAGAAAAAGGACGGATGTTTGTCCTAAAATTTTAAAAGCACTGAAAAACTGCTGTGTAGTGATACTGTGTATCTTCATAATATTTTATACTCCTTTTCTTTACCAATATACAGGGAGTGCAGAATTATTAGGCAAATAAGTATTTTGTCCACATCATCCTCTTCATGCATGTTGTCTTACTCCAAGCTGTATAGGCT